GTCCTGATCCAGCTCTCCTTTCCCTTCCCTCTGTGCAGTAATTTGCTCTTGGAACTACACAAAATTCATATTACACAGAGCCCCATCCAGTACCATTACAGCAGAGTTTTCTTTAAGAGTATATATCCCATTATTTAGCTAAAAATATTTAATTATCCTAATAGCCAAGGGACCTCATTTTAAGCAGTTTAGTTTGAAGTGTGGCTAACCCCACATGGATCTCCACAGACAGAATTATGAGCCAAGCTCTTAAGTATTAATGAATTTAAATTCTAATAATTATTTGATCAATTAGACATAAAATAATTTTCTTCCTTTCCACTCTTGGTTTTTATTTCTTTTCTTTTTTTGTTTTTTTAGACAATCTCACTCTGTCGCCCTGGGTAGAGTGCTGTGGCATCATAGTTCACAGCAACCTTTTAACTCTTGGGCTCAAGTGATCCTCTTGCCTCAGCCTCTCGAGTGGCTGGGACTACAGGCCTCCGCCACAACACCTAGCTAGCTTATTTTATTTTATTTTTAGTAGAGAGGGGGTCTTGCTCTTGCTCAGGCTGGTCCTGAACTCCTAAGCTCAAGTGATCCACCTGCCTCAGCCTCCCAGAGTGCTGGGATTACAGGTGTGAGCCACCTTGCCTGGCCTTGCTGGACATTTTTTATCCAAATGAAGCAAGGTAAATTCAGTTGACACTTACAAACAGTAGGTGTGTTTGAGATATAAATTCAGTTTTTTTTTTGTTTTTGTTTTTGAGACAGAGTCTCACTATGTTGCCCTTGGTAGACTGCTATGACATCACAGCTCACAGCAACCTCAAACTCTTGGGCTTAATGAGAGATTCTCTTGCCTCAGCCTCCCAAGTAGCTGGGACTACAGGTGCCCACCACAACACCTGGCTATTTTTTGTTGTTGTTGTCATCGTTGTTGTCATTATTGTTTAGCAGGCCTGGGCCAGGTTCGAACCCAGCAGCCCTAGTGTAAGTGGCTGGCGCCCTCATCACTGTGCTACAGGCGCCAAGCCAAGTTCAGTTTACAATAGGTTTTGAGATGGGGATTTTGAGGTTAGAATTTTGGAAACATGCCCGTAGAAGTCATGCTAATAGGAACTGGTTTTCCCAAGCCAGCCCACAAAAAAAGCTTTTACTTCAGACATTTGTAAAGTATAGGACTTGAGCTCTATGGAGCCCAATTCCCATGCATGATGGTGGGTCCATGGGCAATTTTTCATCATATTTTGCAGATTTTAAATCTGGAATATTAGGAACATTTAAAAATGTTTACTCATTTTTGCTGCTGTCAGAGGGAATTAGAAGCCCACCTCTTTAGGTGCTGCTCCAAACCACTTGTGGCTTTATTTATTTTGGAGACAGAGTCCTCTCTGTCACCCAGGCTAGAGTGCCATGGCATCAGCCTAGCTCACAGCAACCTCAAACTCCTGGGCTCAAGCAATTCTCCTGCCTCAGCCTCCCGAGTAGCTGGGACTACAGGCTAATTTTTCTATTTTTAGGAGAGGTGGGGTCTTGCTCTTGCTCAGGCTGTCTCGAACTCCTCTGACATCGAGTGATTCTCTCACCTTACTTAGCCTACCAGAGTGTGAGGATTACAGATCCACCATGCCCAGAGGCCCTGGGACTTTGAGTTCAGCTGGGCTGCCACTGAGCCCAGGACTTGGACTTGAGTGAAGGACAAGGACGGCAGGGGAGAGAGGGCAGGGTTGTTGGGGTGGGTGAGAAGGATCCCCTCCTGCCCCAGGGCATCTGTTCGTCCAGCTGGGCCTCTGCCCTCAGTCAGTCCAAGGTGGAGGAGTCTCTGGAAGTGGGATGACTGGAAGTGGACTTAGGTAACCAGTCGGCATGAGTGGAGATGGAGGAGGAAGGGGCTTTATGTAGGTGCCCAGCCTGGCGGCCACGTACAGAATATCTGTCAGTCTGGGATTCACTTACATTCCCTGGGAGTGGCAAGACGGAGGAGTGATACCATCAGACTGCTGAAGGTCTGGTACCACACAAGGCTAAATAATCACAGCCATTTTCCCAAAATGTCAAAAACGAATGCCGAAGTTCAGGCATGGTGGCTCATGCCTGTAATATTAGCACTCTGTGAGGCCGAGGCAGGAGGATTGCTTCTCAGGAGTTCAAGACCAGCCTGAGCAAGAGCAAGACCCTGTCTTTGCAAAAAACAGAAAAATAAGCCAGGAGTGGCAGCACAGGCCTGTAGTTCCAGCTACTCAGGAGGCTGAGGCAGGACTGTTGGAGGTTGCGGTGAGCTGTGATGACACGGCTGCACTCTTGCCCTGGTGATAAGAGTAAGACCTTATCTCAAAATAACAACAAAAAAGTCAGAATCCCTTTCCACATTTTTCTACAGTAAATTCAGGCCAATGAAGGAGAATGTGTCCTGTGTAGCTTAATAAGAATGTGATACATCGAATCCAATTTGTAGAACACTAGAACTCTCTGTAACAAGACCTAAACAGTACACAGAGACGTTAAATATTTAACAATTGCTCCACTGAATGCCAATCTTCCAACAAATTGATTTTTCCAAATCTCTACATTTTATCACTGGCTGTCACTTTCCGTATAGCTGGTGGCCAGTCTGGCATTTATCTGATACAGCTGACTCGGGAGATGAGCTAGGTGAGATTAGTGTGGAGTCAGTCCTGACTCTGGATTTTGCTGGTGCAGAGTTTACAGTTGGTGAGGAGGCGACTTTCTGTACCAGCCATTGAAAGAAAGCCCCCACTAGTTACTCAGAAAGAAAGTAACTTTGAGTTAACCCTAATCCTTCTGTTGCACTTAATCAGTATTATTCATCACTTATAAGTGATTTTAATCGGGGACTTCAACAGAATCCTCCCCAATTGAACAAGGAACCTTCATTTTCTAACCCAACGGTCAAAAGCAAACAGAACTCCCATAGAATCATCAACTAAACCAAGATTTTGCCTTTTATTTCTTTTTTTCCCCCAAAGAACCTTAAAAATCTGACCTTTCTACTAACAAACCCACCCATCTCCCCAAAACCATCCAATAAGAACATTAGATATTTTCTGAAACAAATTTTCATTTGGTTTAAAATCCTTTAAAATTTGGATTTGAATGTATTACCTTCCCTCCCAGCAACGTAAAAACATTCCTCCTCCTCAGCTAAACTGTCCGTGTAGTGTCACGAGCTTCTGTTTGAAGCTGGGATCGTAGGCACTAAAGGTGGTTACATTTCACCAATGAGCCATGGATTTTTATTTATTTCCTAATTGACTGTCATCTCAGGGATGAAGCATTCAGCCTCATGGAAAAGATGAAAAAGTAGGCTCGGTGCCTGTAGCTCCACAGCTAGGGTGCCAGCCACACACACTGCAGCTGGTGGGTTCGAATCCAGCCCGGCCTGCCAAACAACAGTAACAACTACAACACCAAAATAGCTGGGTATTGTGGTGGGTGCCTGTAGTCCCAGCTACTTGGCCCAGCCTTGGGAGGCTGAGGCAAGAGAATCTCTTAAGCTCAAGAGTTGGAGGTTGCTGTGAGCTGTGACGCCACAGCACTCTCCCCAGGGCAATAGCTTGAGCCTCTGTCTCCAAAAACAAACAAACAAAAAAGATGAAAAAGTAAGTACTAAATTAATTTTTTAAAAGTCA